TGTATGTATATGTAAAAATATATAGTGTATATATATACATACTTACACATATACATATATGTACACACATCTGTGTGTGATATATATGAATAAATGAATATATATGAATATTTATGCATATCTACATATCTACATATCTACATATATATATATATATATATATATATATATATATATATATATATATATATATATATATATATATATATATATATATATATATATATATATATATATATATACACACACACACATACACATCAGTGTTATATATAAATAAATATATATATAAGTATATATACATACATATATGTATGTAAATATATACGTATATATTTGTGTGTGCGTATGCATATGTACATATGCATATATATACATAAACATATATACGTATATATATACACATATATATGTACATATATGTATGTATACGCACACACATACATGGCTGAACTGAAGTAACCTTAGCATTAGTCGTAAGAGTGCTATGAAAAACACCACTATTAATGGCTATGACAACCTACCAGCAAAACAATAATAAAAAACACAACATTAACGGTAGCAACAAGAGCAATGACAATCATAATTACTCTGGGTCTCGAAGTACCACCCAGGGAGAGTAGCAATTGCAAAAACATAATCTATCTCCCTTACCACTGACTCTAATGCCCGCCCTCCCTGGCTGTGTTTTATGTACCATATCCTTATTGTCTTTAACTAACACGGTGACACTCTGACACAGTGGCGACGCCCGTGTCTAGATTATAGCCTTGATTTCTTGCACAGAAACACCCACATTGTAACCAGTAGATATTTATCTTTGACGGTTGAATTATTAAATAAGGTCCCATTGATATGCATGAATTTATTAAGAATAGTTTTTTTGTTGTTGTGGTGGATGGAGTGGCAATAGATCGTTGTTTAAGTGGTATGAAAATCAGATGTTTGATTTCTCAGTTTTATAAGCAATTTAGCACGGACAAGGTAAGGAATTGGTAACTAGCGAGTGTCCATGAACATCAGGGGACTTTCGCCAGAGTACAGAGACACACACTTTTGGTTTTCAACATTACCTGATATATTGAAAGGAAAATAACCTCTGTATGCAGCCGTGAGCATATACATCATGTTCTCTCGTGAATCTGGATGACCGTTTAAATTTTAGATAAAGATTGAACAAAGACGCCGAATGTTAATGATATCTGTATAACGAAAACATAGAGGACACTTTCCCTATTGTTATGTTATAACTAACGAACTGCATATGAGCTCTACACTGTTTAAATGTCAGAAGGAAAACAATCTTATTTGACAAAGAAAAAGAAAATACACATTTTTATGCTTGATATGCTACATATTTAGAAGAGGGAAGGGCAAGAGTTGTCAAACTTCAAGAACAATCGAGGCTTCCTCCAAAAAAAATCAGATCCTCTACCGAAAATAACTAAATATTTGGATAATCTTTAGTCAGTAAGACAGGAGACTTCTTACTGTGGATTAGAAACCATGCGTGCATCACCTCCTGAGACTTGGCGTGTACTTCAGGATCTTAGAACGTGGTAAAGGCGGTCCGGTCTTGTACTCGTAAATGCTTTAAACATCTTGTCTCTTTTTTCGTGAATTATCGCTTCCTGTCGTGTTGAGTAGTTTAGGAAGTGATAAAATGTGTGGCTGTATTATCAGGATAACATTGTACTAATCTTACTAATATCAATGAAGGTAGAGACACGGAGACCAGTATAAGGGATATCTACAGTAACTTCATTCAGTGTAATCGCGGTTAATAGATATATATTAATAGTAGTAATGAGGGACAACCAATGCTGAATGTCCAACAGCATTATACACCGAGGTGAGGTTCGTGATCCTGCAAAGGAAGAATAAATTTGAGTTATGATAAAACTGACTTACTGGCCAACTTTTCAACTGCGATTTAGTTTTCGAAAATTCGGCGTGAATGAAATGTCTGTTGATTAATACGATAGATTATTTATGTGCCCCCATTACGACGATCACCACCTTCTTTTCATTATAGAATAAAGAAAATTCAGCAGAGATAAATCCTGGTTTCTACACAGCGGACCTGTTTATGCCAATTGTCGTAAACAAATAGTAAATGTTTAGCCACAACAACAAACACCTTATCTCCCAAACAGGACAAACATCTCAATTAGGATTTTTTATAGAAGCTGAATTCCATGAAGATCAGACTCGCTGCAATCCATGTTGCAATTTATAAGAGCTTATGAGGACGCAGCTTAAGGATTCGGAAACTTCAAAGCCTCCAAAGATGAAGCATTTGATCAAGAGTTTCCAATGATAATCTCACATTGGTTTGATAGCCATGGCGGGATCTGGAATTCCTTCGGGTGGGAGGCTAACCGATACTGAACGGTGCTGTGGAGCGGAAAGCAGTGCTTGTGTCTGCGTGTACGTCTGTGGGTGGGTATACGAATGTGTATGTGTGCTTGTACGTATACGCATACAGACACGTACTGATATTACCATAAATTCCCATAGTACTAGCAGTAGTAGTAGCAGTAATAGAAATAGTAGCAGTAGTAGTAGTAGCAGCAGGAATAGTAGTAGTAGTAGTAGTAGTTGTTGTTGTTGTTGTTGTTGTTGTTGTTGTTGTTGTAGTAGTAGTAGTAGTAGTAGTAGTTGTTGTTGCTGTTGTTGTTGTTGTAGTAGTAGTAGTTGTAGAAGTAGCAGTAGAAGCAGTGGCAGTAAGAGTACCTTCCCCAACACAGCTCCTCCAACAAGTTCTGCCTCATGAGACGTTCTCTCCACCATATATCTCCAATTCCTTTTTCTTCCTCAACAAACACAAGAATCCTCACACTGCGGACAGTTTGACGATTTCTCATCCCAGACCAGTTGTTTACATTTTGCTCAATATATTATAAATAGGCTGATTAATGGATCCGACCGCCATAAGCCTGCAGTGTTTACGGTTGCCTGGTTGCTGTCAAAGCCTCGTATTTCCCCTTACTGGCCCGGACCTGCTCAGTGAAGTCTTTCAAGAAGCTGACAAGGCGTTTCTTCACTGACTCAGAGAGTAGGTTAGTCTAAATAATCTGTTTAAGATAAGAAAAAAATGAAGGAGGAGGAGGAGGAGGAGGAGGAGGAAATGGAGGAGGAGGAGGAGGAGGAAATGGAGGAGGAGGAGGAGGAGGAGGAGGAGGAGGAAATGGAGGAGGAGGAGGAGGAGGAGGAGGAGGAAATGGAGGAGGAGGAGGAAATGGAGGAGGAGGAGGAGGAGGAAATGGAGGAGGAGGAGGAAATGGAGGAGGAGGAGGAAATGGAGGAGGAGGAGGAAATGGAGGAGGAGGAGGAGGAGGAGGAGGAGGAGGAAATGGAGGAGGAGGAGGAGGAGGAGGAGGAAATGGAGGAGGAGGAGGAGGAGGAGGAGGAGGAGGAAATGGAGGAGGAGGAGGAAATGGAGGAGGAGGAGGAGGAAATGGAGGAGGAGGAGGAGGAGGAGGAAATGGAGGAGGAGGAGGAGGAAATGGAGGAGGAGGAGGAAATGGAGGAGGAGGAGGAAATGGAGGAGGAGGAGGAAATGGAGGAGGAGGAGGAGGAGGAGGAGGAGGAAATGGAGGAGGAGGAGGAGGAGGAGGAGGAGGAAATGGAGGAGGAGGAGGAGGAAATGGAGGAGGAGGAGGAGGAGGAGGAGGAGGATGAAAAGGAGGAGGAGGAGGAGGAGGAGGAGGAGGAGGAGGAGGAGGAGGAGGAAATGGAGGAGGAGGAGGAGGAGGAGGAGGAGGAGGAGGAAATGGAGGAGGAGGAGGAGGAGGAGGAGGAAATGGAGGAGGAGGAGGAAATGGAGGAGGAGGAGGAAATGGAGGAGGAGGAGGAGGAGGAGGAGGAGGAGGAAATGGAGGAGGAGGAGGAGGAAATGGAGGAGGAGGAGGAGGAGGAGGAGGAGGAGGAAATGGAGGAGGAGGAGGAAATGGAGGAGGAGGAGGAAATGGAGGAGGAGGAGGAGGAAATGGAGGAGGAGGAGGAAATGGAGGAGGAGGAGGAAATGGAGGAGGAGGAGGAGGAGGAGGAAATGGAGGAGGAGGAGGAGGAGGAAATGGAGGAGGAGGAGGAGGAGGAGGAAATGGAGGAGGAGGAGGAAATGGAGGAGGAGGAGGAAATGGAGGAGGAGGAGGAAATGGAGGAGGAGGAGGAAATGGAGGAGGAGGAGGAGGAGGAAATGGAGGAGGAGGAGGAGGAAATGGAGGAGGAGGAGGAGGAAATGGAGGAGGAGGAGGAGGAGGAGGAGGAAATGGAGGAGGAGGAGGAAATGGAGGAGGAGGAGGAAATGGAGGAGGAGGAGGAGGAAATGGAGGAGGAGGAGGAGGAGGAAATGGAGGAGGAGGAGGAAATGGAGGAGGAGGAGGAGGAGGAGGAGGAGGAGGAGGAGGAAATGGAGGAGGAGGAGGAAATGGAGGAGGAGGAGGAAATGGAGGAGGAGGAGGAGGAGGAGGAGGAAATGGAGGAGGAGGAGGAAATGGAGGAGGAGGAGGAGGAGGAGGAAATGGAGGAGGAGGAGGAGGAGGAGGAAATGGAGGAGGAGGAGGAAATGGAGGAGGAGGAGGAAATGGAGGAGGAGGAGGAAATGGAGGAGGAGGAGGAAATGGAGGAGGAGGAGGAAATGGAGGAGGAGGAGGAAATGGAGGAGGAGGAGGAAATGGAGGAGGAGGAGGAAATGGAGGAGGAGGAGGAAATGGAGGAGGAGGAGGAAATGGAGGAGGAGGAGGAGGAGGAGGAGGAGGAGGAGGAAATGGAGGAGAAAGTGAGAGAGAGAGTAAGAGAGAGAGAGTGAGAGAGTAAGAGAGAGAGAAAGAAAGAGAGAGAAAGTGAGAGAGAGAGAGAGAGACTGGCAACAGAAGAGTAACACAATAAATAGCTGGATGTTTACGTAAACAAGGTTAAATAATCAAGATGGTTTGGCGGTGCCGTTTGTCGCGGTTGTGCATGACTCGTGGCTGTGTTCTTGACGGTCATGACAG